CGATAGGTGGAGAGAGTGAACCGTAACTGTTGTTGACAAGGCAGTTGACAGAGACAGAGGAGGAAGAAAGTACCAGACAGTAGTAGGAGATCTGGTGGAGGTAAACTCGTTGCTTATTATTTGAGTCTCCAAGGCTTATCCACTCATTCGCTAAATTGCAGTCGATAGCCAGTGCAGGTCCTAGTGGCACACCGAATCCTGTGGAATTAAATGTCATTTTCTAGAACATCAAACAATGCTTATTTTGATGTTTTTGAAATACATTTTGGCAAAGATATCATTTGAAAGCATTTCACTTTACTTTCTCTGCTATTAATGGCAGTGACGTACGATGCTACTGCTTTAGCTAGCAAGTTTGAGGACAAAAGTAAGCCGACGAAATAATTGTAACAATTCTACAGCGAACAAAGCGGTCAAAATTGTCAAATCTTGCCAAAAATTCATAAGTGGTTACATAAGTTTTATTACATAACATAAGCTGATTTGCATTAAATTACCGGTGCAATGATATACTTAATTGCGAATTTTAACGTTTACCTCCACACCGATTCCTTGCTTACATCCCAATTTGTCGGTTAGTTGGTACTTGTCCGTTTTAATGGTACACACTCAACTCCATTCCACAGGTGAAGCAGAAGTACTATTCTCCTCATATCTGCTGCATGCTGTCTGGAGAAGTAGTGACATATACACGCACTCTTACAATAATGCATTAACACAAATCAAGTGATTTCCACGCTTCATTAAGTTGACATTTAAATCGACGAAACATTCCTGATAGCAAGGATTTGTGTGTCAATAATGACACATAATTGGAGTAACAGGAATGGCAAATATGGGTGGCATGGGATGGGTTCTCTGTAGGACTCTTTACAGTGAGTGGTGTTGAGACAGTTTGTTTAATGGCCCCAGATACATCAAATGGGAGGCGAAAGCTAATTTGTGGAAGTCACAAAGAGTAGGCGTCGCATACCATTTCACATGTCGCATGCTATGCATGAACAAATGACAAACAAAAGGCTTCGACAACAATTAAATCACTGTGACGTATGATTGGAGCAGCCCATTTGCTCCTCGATTGACGACTGACTGACTGAGCTACATATTTGTGATGAGAAATTACCCTTGTGTTGCAAAGGTCGTTAGGCAAACGCACATGGCATTGCTTGGTCTCAAAAAGTCTACCTTTTGAGTTCGAGTTCTACCCACTGGAAGGTGTGCCTCACGCACTACATCGTCTTTACAAAAGAGCAGACATCAAATGTAGTTAACCAGGGAGGAGAATTTCATAATCTTGGTCTCACAAGATAACATAAGATATCATACTGTTTTATGCATTGGGAAAACTGACAACTAAAATAATAATAATAAAGTGGGAGTAAGGTGTGATAAAAGGGAGTGCTGCCTCTTCTACATCCTAAGTCCACATATTTTTAGATGTTATTTCTCAAGTGGCATAAGGGCGAGCTATGTAGGGATGTGGCCGACACCATGCAATTTAATCCTGTGAATAAATCATTTCCAAAAAAGAAACTCATTTTGTTTTTGCAACTTCTTATGGCGCTAAACCAGTAAGCGCTATTCTAATGCATCGCCACATTGAGTGTGATATTGAAGGAGGAATTGGTGGTCTATTAGCACAGGTTAGCTTTTGCGATGGTCACATTTACATGACACACACATATACCAGGCTATCTAAGTATGGGTATCAATAAAATCTGCAAGGATCTTAAGGTCTACCACAACCAACCTGCATATTTTGCAGAAATTCATATAACGTCCATGCCCTCGATGCCTCTTGCGCCGAGCCGCCAGGCACCCATTGGTGCTCCAGAACAGCGACGAAATGTGCCGCACTGTTTACTGCCATCAGTGAGCGCGCGTAGCACACAGCTGCAGCAACACTGTGGGTGAAGTCGTAGAACACCGTCTGGGGGATACAGAAACGCGGTCAGAGGTAAGGGTGCAGATGGTGGGATGATCTTGTGCATTTAACAGCTCCTCCTCATTTCTTACACTGTAGATGTCGAAACTCGTTAAGATGGTCAGAAAGACGATCAAGAGCATCGTTTTTATCGGGAACTTCACCAAAAAATTAAGGAGGTGTGAAACCATGTGCAACTTATAAAAGAAGTTCGTGTTATTGTCCCCTTTTTGATGCACGTATTTGATTGGTTTGGGCACTAACGAATTAGAATTTTGCGTGACAATATCAAATAAGGTGGGTTGAAGCGTTGCACCGACATAGTTGCCCCAGCTTTCCATAAGGTCAATACATAGGACAAAGCTTTAATTGCTTTAATGCTCGGGGTTCATTGGGTTTTGTTGCATGCAAATCTTAAGCTCTCCCAGCAAGTTTAACTTCTCTCATGTGGTCACCATGACGGCACTTAAGAAGCTTGGTGATGTTTAGCCTCAAAAACAATGCTTGTGCGGCAAGTCGACCGTGCTTTTAATCTAATGCTGCCCATGGCTGGTGACTAGATGCTCAAGCGCGTTTTGCAGAAATGCTCACGTGTTTCATAATCAGAATCTTGCCACGCTCTTGTCTTGGCTAAAAATATGACTGGGAAACGCCTAGTTTATGTCAACATTGTTTAGAAACGGAAGCCATAGGTGACCGTTAAACTGTGCTGAAAGCCTCACAGCGCAATCGTGCCTAAGACATTTTTGATATGACTGAGATGTCTCAAGAAGTCTGAATATGCGTATCAATTTACTCTGATGGTCTGATCAACTGTTAATGGAAGGGCTCAAGATTATTTGAACATACTCTTACAAATAAAGTCATTTACTAGGCGATTGAGTGGAATTAATTAAGGCATATGGCTAAATGCAAAACGGTTTTTTAAGGTCCTCAAAAATAGTTTCACCTAAATGTGTAATTCATCTGACATTTATTCAGCATAAATCCAGCATTGTTTTTTTGATTTTCTGCAGATGACGCTTTAAACTCTGATTTTCTTTAAACTTCGGTGGCAGCTGGCTTGTTGATCCAAGCATTCAAATAGCGAAACATCAAGGATTTCTTAAAGAACAAAAAAAAAATTTAACCCAAGCAGT